ATATCCTGCTGGGCAGCAGGTGACAGGGCGATTCTGCGCCATATTCCGTCCGATCGTAACTCAAAATTCCAGATCACGAGGTCTGGTCAAAATGCTTCGCCTGAATTGGATCCCAGATATCTACAGTGGCACTCAAATGGATCTAAAGTGTAGGGCAGATCAGGTGCGGATGTCTTAGACCTGGCACCAAACATTCTATTGCAATGGGTATTTGGTCTATGTCCTTTCAGGCCGAGGTATTTGCACTCTCAATTTGTACCAGATTGAACTTTGAAAAGGGTTTAACAGGCGCCTTTCTAGCTATATTTTCGGAGAGCCAGGCGGCCAAAAGGGCCCTATACAATAGGACGACCACCTCTAGGCTCGTCAAGGAGTGCTTTGACACTATCTAATCCTTACCAACTAGGGGCACGGTATTACTATGCTGGGAGTCAGGACACTGCAGAATCGAAGGTAATGACGATACTGACGAAGTTCCCACGACAGTCGGGTCTACGTAACCGGGACGACGCAGATTTATATTTGATCAAGGACTATTACTCCAGCATCACACCCCAAAAACTCTGGGGAATTTGAATGATGTTACAACAACAAGATCAACAACAAAAATGCACTGACCTAATGGTGTATATTATAAGTATAGTACCATTTATGGTAAAATGTCGCTCCTNCCCACGACAGTCGGGTCTACGTAACCGGGACGACGCAGATTTATATTTGACCAAGGACTATTACTCCAGCATCACACCCCAAAAACTCTGGGGAATTTGAATGATGTTACAACAACAACTGGCGGCCCTATAGTAATCTTACTAGTATCCTGGAGTCGAGTTCCTACCTCGCATGATTTCATAAATCAATTGCAATCCTACGTCCGCTATAATAAATAAATATTGTACTTTTCAAAGTTTATAATTATGTAATAAAAACTGTTGTAATTAGTTATTTCTGTTGACTNAATAAATATTGTACTTTTCAAAGTTTATAATTATGTAATAAAAACTGTTGGAATTAGTTATTTCTGTTGACTAAAAAAAAAAAATAATAATATTATTGTTAAGGAAGTGTCACACGATTGGTAAATTTGTACTCCTTTTTTATATTGGGCTATTGGCACAAAATAAAAAAATAAAATAAAAAATTGGGACGACACTTCTATTGACAAATTTTTACAAATTGTTTGTCGTAATTAGGATAAAGAAAAATATTTGTGCATTCCCACGATTGGGATATGATTTGCACCAAATTTTTAGCAAATGGCCAATCGTGTGACACAGCCTTTAGAGTTTTACTGAAATAACAATATATAAACTTCGCGGTACCATTGACAGCTACGATATCTTAGTAGATATGGTTCTCGAATTTTTTAAATAATTATTGGCATTTAACTTTTGTTACTTACTTTAGCATAGCCTCTTGAATCTCCGAAGGTATTTATCTCTTAATTGATGCACGATATGTATAGTTGTGTTTTTGTATCTATTGTAAACTGTACAACAAATCTTTATGTATGGCCAAGTCATATACAGAGTTTCCGCTCATACATATGTCAGCATTCCTTGGTTAATGGAACTGTTTCTTTTATTGATACCAAATCGAAATGTATTATTAAATTGCATCCGAAATGCATATACATACATATGTACATATATGTAAGTACATATGTTTTCGTCGGTCACATGCAGCAAAAGCGGGAACTACGTAAATGCGTAATCAAGAACGTTTATGCGTTTTGAAGAGCTTAAGAGAGGTGGCAATTTTCTCAAAACAAAACAGATAATACCTACAAAAACGACATGCTCACTAGCAACGGACGATTACACATTAAGAAATCTAACTAAATGCTGACTGTTTATAACAATTGACACAGTGTGATGTCCCTACAACAATTGCTTGAGTACACAAGGACTTTGTATGTATGTATACCTACTACAGATACAACAACTTAACAACTACAACACTGAGCGTATAATTATAACTAATTTATGTATTTACCAGGGTTCGGAAATATTCATATATGAATCTTCGCGAACATACATTTATGATTTTATACGCGAAGGTGAACGATTCAAATATTCTGTATTGATTCTCCTTCGCGAACGTGAAGCATAAAACCAGTCCAGATAGTTCGCGTTCGCGAATGTTAGGTAGAAAAAATTTCCGCTGTTGTTCGTACGCGTATGTATTGGTGGACCAAACAGCGTGCGTTCATATATGTAGCTATAAGTGGCAGCGATGCCTTCGCGAAGGTTCACTGCTGTCGTTCTCCTTCATAAATGAATGAAAATGCTGCGGCAAATATTCGCGGAAAGTTGGTGTGGCTAGAGATACTATTCTGTGCGAAGGCAATTTTGTTAATTGCATAAGATTTGCACCGTTCATTCGATTTTCAAAAATGAGGTGTCAAATGAAAGGGCTTGACCTCTGGATGTGCAGAAAGGATATATTTTTTTAATAGGGTTGCCACCTGGTTTAAAATTATGATATTTACACCGTTCTCCCGATTTTCAAAAATGAGGTGTCAAATGAAAAGGTTCGGCCTCTGTGTATAAAATAAGGTTTTATTTTTTAAATATTGTTTGAATCTCGTTTAAAATTATGATATTTACACCGTTCTCCCGATTTTCAAAAATGACGTGTAAAATGAAAGGGCTTCACCTCTAGATGTGTAGGAAGGATATATTTTTTTTACAGGGTTGCCACCTGCGTTTAAAATTATGGTATTTACACCGTTCTCCCGATTTTCAAAAATGACGTGTAAAATGAAAGGGCTTCACCTCTAGATGTGTAGGAAGGATATATTTTTTTTACAGGGTTGCCACCTGCGTTTAAAATTATGGTATTTACACTGTTCTCCCGATTTTCAAAAATGACGTGTCAAATGAACCTATACGTGCATATGTACCCTGCAGGGAGTGACGTTAGCTTATACCTAACTTTAGTCTGTTTACGCGAACACTAGTGCTAACTATTAACTGTGTATTTTGTTCGAAATAAGCTGACTACTTTTGTGGGGCGATGGCCGCAAAAAAGTCAGACCTGGATACCTCTGCATTACATGTCAACTAACTTGTAACTAACTACTTTTGGACATAAAATATCAATAAGAAAAACAAAATATTTTTTTGTTTTTTTACTTTTTTATTTACTTATTTATTTACTTTATTTTATTACATTTCATATTTGTTTACATATTCTGCTCTGGGTGGCCCCATATTCGAACACCGTCAGACATAACTTCAAAATGATAGTATAAAATTTCGATCTTCCTTTTATTTGTCCTGAATATGAAAAAGAATCTGCGAAGTTCAGAAAAAAGTGTATTGAAAGTAATTTTTGTATGAGGATATTTAATAGAAACTTGTAAAGAAAACCAACTCCCGATTGCGTCTGCATGACTCCTGCACGACTTTACAATTCACTTTAAGTTGGTTTTGTCATAGCTAATTAAAAGTGAGGTATTAATCGAAATCTCGCCAAAAAGCTAACTATAAGTTGGTTAGTTTTAACAATTGATAATTTTTCACTGCAGGGTATGTATGACTATACTTTGGTGCGTTTATTCATATCTACCTACATATTTGCAATATTTATACATATGTACATTGTACAACTATGTATGCATGTGAAAAAAGTTTGTGGATGGTGTTATTATTTTCTTCCATACATGTTAGGTAGAAGTCATTTTCGCTGTTATTCAAACGCGAAATTTTTCTACCCAACATATGCGAAAGCTGTTTGTTTAAAAATATTTCTACACACTTGCAATAATTGTGAGGGCTATTCTCATCTGCAAGCAGAACCGCAAATATTGCTGTTGAATGATGTTCTTCTATAAAGATTTCTGAGAAATACTAACGACCATAATTTCTTGAGAATGCATTCCATTATTGTTAGTGGTATGCACATTATAACGAATTTCTTTCACAATATTAACTAAACTGCGAACAAAACTTTCAAAGAAATCGCTGTCAAATTTATTAATTACAAAACTAAACTTTGAGCTCCTAAAATTTTCAACACTAGATGTTGAAGATAGCAACTAAGCAAAAATATTTGTTTTAATCAGCTTTTATTTACATACGTATGTATGTTCGTATACAAATTCAAGTGCAGAAATTAATAAATATACAGACTCATGTACATAAAATATGAATTATCTTTATGAGTTTTAATTTAAGTAATTTCATGTACATACATACATATTTAAATACATATTTACGAATACATAGATGTAAGTGCGGAAATAAATATTTCTTTAATATGAAATTTCAAACAATATTTAAAAAATAAAACCTTATTTTATACATAGAGGCCGAACCTTTTCATTTGACACCTCATTTTTGAAAATCGGGAGAACGGTGTAAATATCATAATTTTAAACGCAGGTGGCAACCCTGTAAAAAAAATATATCCTTGCTACAAATTTAGAGGGCAAGCCCTTTCATTTAACACCTCATTTTTGAAAATCGGGAGAACGGTGTAAATATCACAATTTTAAACGCAGGTGGCAACCCTGTCAAAAAAATATATCTTTTCTGCACATCCAGAGGACAAGCCCTTTCATTTGACACCTCATTTTTGAAAATCGAATGAACGGTGCAAATCTTATGCAATTAACAAAATTGCCTTCGCACAGAATAGTATCTCTAGCCACACCAACTTTCCGCGAATATTTGCCGCAGCATTTTCATTCATTTATGAAGGAGAACGACAGCAGTGAACCTTCGCGAAGGCATCGCTGCCACTTATAGCTACATATATGAACGCACGCTGTTTGGTCCACCAATACATACGCGTACGAACAACAGCGGAAATTTTTTCTACCTAACATTCGCGAACGCGAACTATCTGGACTGGTTTTATGCTTCACGTTCGCGAAGGAGAATCAATACAGAATATTTGATACGTTCACCTTCGCGTTCGCGTACGAAGGTGGGTGAATATTTCCGAACCCTGGTATTTACAAATAAGATAAGTTTTTGTTATTGTTGGCTTACCATTTTATTCTTCATTTTATCCAGTTTGCCTTCCATCTCCAAGCGATTCTCTTTGATTCGCTCCTCGCTCGCTTTGGTTTCCTCCTGCAGACGCTGTTTGGATTCGCGATATTTAGCTTGCAAAATTTGGTTGTCTAGCCGCAGTTGTGTGTTGGCTTTCTGCTCGGATTCGGCCACCGCCTCAGCTACGGACAAACGTTTGCGCAGTTGTTCGAGCTCTTCACCTTCTATCTCATTACCATTGCGCAGTTTGTCACGCTCCGATTGCAGCATTGATATTTCTTCAGTCTTCATACATAATTCCTTTCGCAGCTGTTCCAACTGCGCCTCGAGTATGACGATCTTCTCTTCGCGCTCCGTACGCAAATTCTCGTTATGTATTTCGTATTCTTTTAATTTGGCGCAGGTATTTAGATGCTCATTTTCAATCTGAGCTTTTTCTTCCTTCAACGCACACATATCCATCTCGAGGTCACGCAATTGCTGCGCGAGCGTATCACATTTATCCTGTGATATCTGCAGATGGCATGAAATCTTTGATAACTGATCGCTTATATTTGAATTCTGTTCCTGCAAATGATCAGCATCGGCTTGTAGCTTATTGGCAAGCGCTTCTAATTCGTTGGCACGAGCCAGCGCGTTGTCGCGTTCTTGAATGGCTGCCTCCAATTGTTCTGCCGTGTGATCGGCACTAATCGAATGCTTCAATTCGTTCAGCTGTGAGTTGATGGCACCGATTTCGTGATTTAAACGCACATTGCTGGCTTCCGTAGTCTCCAACGAATAGTTCAGCTTTCGTATTTTCTCTTCGTTCGTTTGACGTATTTTCTCGAGCTTTGTCAGTTTTGCTTTAGCATCTGCCTCAGAGGCTTCTAACTGTTTTTTCTCTGCTTCGAGAGACGCCTTTACTTGCTCCAGTTGATGTACCTTGTTGAAGAGCTGCTGCTGATTGCGTTCGGTATTGGCCATACGCTCCTGCAGCAGTTGTTTGTCATTCTCGAGCGTACTCTTTTCACGCTGCAACTTTTCGGCAACCGCCTTTGACGCATTCAGCGACTCAGTGAGTTTTTCGTTATCGTGTTCGCTCTTGGAGCAGCGTGCCTGTGTATCGCCTAACTTGACAGCCATTTTTTCAATGCGCTTCTTGTTAGCCTCCTGCGTTTCTCTCAGCTTAGCATTCTCAGCAGCCAGTTGCTCCTTCTTACTTTCGAGCGTTTGCAATTGCGCGCGCAATAGTTTCAGCTCTTTCTCGGTGGAATCTAATTTGCGTTCCAACGTATTGGAGTTTTGTAAAATGTTCTTTACCATCGTTTCTGTTGAACTATGCTGTACACAGGTTTGTGTGAGCTGTTCTCGCAAATCCTGCAACTGCTCAACGAGCGAAGCCTTCTCCTGCCGCAGTGAGTCACTGCCTTGAATCAGACGTGTAACATTTTCATTGGCGCGCTGTAATTCGCTCTTTAACTCTTGCTTTTCCTGCTGCAAGCGTTCCAATTCCACGCCCGCATTTTGGTGCTGCTCTTTAGCGACGGCGATTTCATGCTCCAGCCGTACAACTTCTGCTCTCAAGTTCTCCTTGGCATTCTTCAAATCATGAACCTCAGTTTTGAGATGCTCCATCACGGCGCTGCACTTGCGTTCGCCCACTAGCTGTTGCTGCAGTTCCGTGATCTCGGCATTGCGACTGAGTAGCTGTGTGTTCAACTTGTCGTTCGCCTTTTCCAGTACCTCGACCGCACCCTGCCGCTTCTGTTCGGTTTGGTCGAGTTGAATGTGCAGCAATGATATGCTATGCAGCAGACGATTTAGCGCGTACTTAAGTTTACCCAACTGTGTGTCCTTATCATTCTCTGGCAGCTTGATGAGCTCATCGACCACTTCTTGCTTTTCGCCATCAGTTGGCACGTTGATGTGGTTCTCCACAATGGTGGTAATCGCCTGTAAAGTGTTATCGACATACTCCTGTTCGATTGACTGCTCGGCCAGCATGCGCGTCATTTCTGATAACTTTGTCTGCCAGTTGTGTCGCTCGTGTTCCTGCTCATCTTGTAACCTCTGTATTTGGGCTTCTTTTGCGGACAAATCAGTTTGTAACTTAGCGCATAACTCGTTAGCATCTCTGATTTGAGCGTTCAAGTCAGCGCTAGTCTTCTCCAAAATCTTCGCCTGCTGATCCTTCTCGCATATGGCCAATTTCAACTGGTCAGCAGTTTGTTCAAATGAAGCTAATAGCGCTGACTTCTCCTCTTGTTCGCACTGTATCTGTGATGTGAACGAGGCGATATCCTTCGCCAAACACTCTTTCTCCTCAACAACATTCTGCAAACTCTGCTGCAGTGTTGCAATTTGCTGCAATTGCTTTAACTTCAGTTTTTCCAATGCACTCACTTGAGTTTCGGAACGTTTGAGTATCGCTGTTTGGCTTTCATATGCTGCCTTCAAACCGTTTATAATCTGTGATTTCTCCTTCATTATGCTTTCGAGTTTTTGCGCGGTTTCAAATAATCGTGATTCACTCGCTTGCAGCTTCACGTTCAATTCGGTCTTGGAGCTGACTTCCTGCGACAGCTGGCCACTTAGTTCATTCAAAGCGCTGTCAGCTTGTTCGATTTTCTCATGGACCTTCGTGTGCTCAGCTTTGAAAGTGTCGATTTCTTGCAGCAGTTTCTTATTTTTGCTAACTACATTTTCAAGCTGTTCCTGCAGTTTTTTTAGTTGTTCAGCGCTGGCCTGGCGCATTTGTGCTTGTTCGCCTTGTACTGCTTCCAAACGCTGCACGCTCTCATCAAGCTTCTTCTTGACATCCGTACTCTCCTCAAGGAGCGCTTGCAGATCGCGTTCTTTAACAGATAACTCTTCCTCCGCGGAGTTTAGTTGTTCCTTCAGTGAACTTATAGCACGATCGTGCTCAGCACCAAGCTCCGTAAGACGCACTGTATGGTCTTCAGTGTTTGCCTGCAACGCATTTTCCATGTCTTCAGTGACCTGCTTCAATGCCACCTTTAAGCTGTCTATATTTTCTTCATATATTTTAAGTTGGCCTTCTGCATTTTTCAGCTTCAGATCACTCTGTTGCAATAGCGATTTGTAATTGGCTTCCAGTTCTTCCTTGGCGAGTAAGAGTTTCTTCATTTCACCTTCCATAACCTCCATTTTCGAGACCGTTTCGGTGTGATTGAAGCTCATCAGCTCTAATTTGTTGACAAGTTCGAGTTTATCCTCCTGCAAGCGTCTCACATTAGATACCACATCTTCAAGCCTTTGGGCTAAGCTCACAGAGTCATCCGCTTGATCGGTGCTTAATATCAAATTCAAAGCGTTGAAGGTTTTTAAAACAACAGTCAGTTCTTCCTTTGACTCTGTTAATTCCCTTTGCATTAGGTTTTGTTCACTCTTCAGTCTGATCGAACACTCTTCCAACTTATCACGCTCTTCACTAAGTTTTTTTATACGGTCATCACGCGAGCTTATTGCCAGTTCAGTGTTGTTCTTCTCTGTTTTGAACTCTGCAGTAAGCGTATCGATGCGTGATTCTAGTTCAACATTTTTCTTGCGCACTTCCATTATTTCGTCACCTAGTTTACTCATTTCAAACTCTTTAACTGCTATTTTATTTCGCATAGCTTCCAAATGATCGGAAGTTTCACGCCTTTCCCGCTTGGTGGCTTCATGTTGTACGAGTATCTTTTCATACTTTTCCTTAAGCATTTTTTCGGTTTTATCATGTGCTTCCAACTCACCTTGGTAGCCTTTTATTCGCTCATTCAATGTGCGTATTTCATCCACATTGTTTACTATACTTTTTTGTAATGTTTCGATCTTTTTCTGCAGCGTAGTCGCTTCATCATTTAACTCTTTGTTTTCTTTTGCAGTTACAGAACTCTTTTTCTCATATACTGCTATTTCACTTTCCAATTTCTTTATCTGGGCCACATAGTCCTGGCGTTGAATATTGCATATATTCTGGTGTGTATCATAGTCATTGGCCAGACTCTCAAGCTTCGTGACCAGTTCGAATTTTTGTTCATTGATTTTTAACAGGTCTTGTTCACAGAGCCCAATTTTCTCCTGCATACACTTCTTGCCTTTCTCCAATTCGACGTTCACATGATCCAAATTCTTCAATTGGTCTTGAAGTACACTAATTTCTTTCTCAAATTGCATTAGTCTTCGGCTAAGATCATCGTTACGTCTTTGTTTAGCCTGCAGGTCAGCTTGTAAAGTTCTCACCTTATCTTTTTCGTCTTTGTAAAACATTCCTAAGCGGTCGACATAGTCGACCAAATGATCCAAACATTCGGCTGGTGTAATTTCTATATTTTCCTCTTCTTTTGCTGTAATGCTACCGATACCAGTAGCAATACTGAATTCTTGTGCATGCTTCATGGTAAATTTTCGTATTAAATCGGAAATCCGTTTATTGCTGTTCTTCAATGAATGCAATTCTTCACGTAGCTCAGCGTTTTCGTGTTCCTTTTCGCGCAACTGCACATCGACAACAGAGCGGGCGAGATTTTCAGGACTACTCGAACTCCCGCTAGCATCGGTGATCGGCGAGAATGATGCATCCATATAGTCAGGACGCGAATTATTATTCCCTGTTGAACGAGTTTCATTAATAAACAGTTCTAATTCAAGTTTATTTTCGTTTAAGCATTTGATGGTGAGCTCCTTTTGCTGTTGGTGAATAATAATGGAAATGCGTTAATGATTAGCTCTCAGGTGTATTATAAATGAATTTACCTCTAACTCAGTGGTAAGTTCATCCACTTTAAAGTCCAGCTCTGTAATACGATCCATGCAAACCACAATTTGTTTCTCTGCAAAACGGAGCTAAAATATCGATAAATGTAAATAAATACATACTTATGTTGGAAAGAACTATAAATGAAGAATACTCAAACATTTTTCTTACCTTTTCTTGAACAAGAGATTTTTCCTCCTTCATATTTCCAAGAACCTCATTGAGCTTAGCTATTTCTTCCTCCTTTTGCGCAACTTCTTTGCAAAGGCGACGTTTCATCTAAATATTTTAAATGCAAAGTAAAATAAAAATAAAAATCCAAATGGAAATCTCATCTTTCCGAGACATTTGAATGATAAAAAACGCCTCGAGTGCACATTTTAAGTATCAGTTTCTTTCTTTAAGAAAGCGATCGCAATAAGAATTGAAGAATTTCAGAAATTTCAGTTTTACACCGCTTAGGAAGGATTCAACACAAATGTATAGTGATGCTTTTAACGGCTCATATCTACATATCGACGGTAGCCGGTTCGAAAACGTAATATCTCAGCAAATTTTTCAAGAAGACCCTATCTCAGCATTTGGTTGAAGAACGCCGTAACTCAGCAAATGGTTTAATAATGCCCTATCTCAATATAAATTCAAGATAACGGCAGCTGAGATAGGGAGTTTTTGAACCATATGTTATGTTCATCAATCAAATTCTGGGATAGGGCGTTTTTTTCAATCAAATTCCGAGATAGGGCGTTCTTCAAGCAAACTCTATTTTCTAACATTAAGCGTTGTCGAGCCGGCTGCCAAGATAGGTCGTTCTTCCACTGAACCGTCTATATATCTGTGCTCATAAGCAATAACCGCCTAAGAAATAATTGAGTTATACATATATGCGATTGTATTCTGCTACTACTATTCCATGTGTATGTGAAATCCCCATCCCCCTAACTAGGCTATTTAAAAAGTTATAGGCGAATATATTTTGTTTTCCCCATAAGGTTAACATTACAATCCAAATGTTTAAAACGTTTTTTCTCGAATTCAGGTTTTTCGACTTAGGCGGTTATTGCTTATGAATATTATCTTATAAAGAAGAAAAAGAATGAGTGGCAGCGACAAACCTATTTTGAGTTAGATATTGAAAGAAGTATGCACCTGATAGGTCTATTGAGAGTTATTTCTACAAGAAATATTCTTTTCTAAGAATAACTCCGCCAAACAAGAAATTATTTTCGCTGTTATGCAATATATTTATATTATTTTATATATTTAATCCCTGACATAAACTAACCTGCTCTCCATCTTTGTTTGGTGAACTGCTTTCTGTTGCGTTCTGTGTAAGTATATCGTTTCTTAATGCTTGTATTGTTTGTTGCAATTTTTTATGGTCTTGATCTGCAAAGAAGGTTATGGGCAAAATTAAGAGGATTTAACAAACACTGAGGAATATTAATCGCATACTTAGTTTTTTAATTTTCTCCTCATTTTGTTTTATTTGTACTTCCAGCAGCCCCTTCTCGTATCTTTCGGTCTCCAATTGTGCCTGCAGTAATGATAATTTAGAGTTTAACTTTGGAATACAATTTTATTTTACTTACGCGCAAATTATAGAGCTCTCGTGTTCGCTCCTCCAACATCGCCGATTTCGGTGTTGGTGGCACAATACGTGGACTGCTATTGCCTGGAGCATAGCGTGCCGTTCGAAATGGCGAGTCCGGGCGAGGAAACGATGATGAGGGAAAATTAAGATTATTGCCAGTCGAATTATTTCCACTCGAGTGGCTATCATTTCCTGAACCTGATGAATTTGTACTTTTCAGTAATGTGCCAGCAATAGCTTGACACAATTTATCACGGTTTATAGACTGGCAATCTATCAACTCATTGAAGAAAGCCGCAATGTGGCGCTGGTTATTAACAGATAATCTCTTACAGATATCATGAAAATTTGTTTCAGGATATTTTACGCAAGAAAAATGCAAAAGAAGAGAGTAAACATATAAATACTCTGTTGAACTAAGGGTATTTTCATCGTCAAGTAGGGGAGAATAATCTGGGTATTGTTCTGAAAGTATGAAAAGGAAATATGTCATTGAAATATGTATAAAATATATCTGCATTACCTTTCAAGAAAGAAATGATATTGCCTTCTGGTTCTGATTTTTGTACTAGTTTATGGTTGGAGCGAAAGTTTCTATAGAACTCGTCAATATCTGTTTGTTCCAAGCTAAAGTAGTTACCAGCAACGAATCCGCATTCGGTTAACTAAAGGGCAACATAAGATTGGTAAATAGATAACAAAATAGTGATCAATTAGGGACGATTGGCAGATGCTGCCATTTTCAGACCAACACTTACCCAATGTAAGAGAACGTTTTTCCAGTTACGTACTTCCATGTTTTCCAACAGTGTGTATTTGAGTTCTTAGCGTATTCCCTATCCTATATTTGCCAGCTTTTTGTCTACCTGGCTCACTTCGAATTTCTATTATAAGATTTGGAAATTTATTACTTCACAAACCCACGGTACAAAAGCAATGACAAACTGAAGAACGAAGACACATTCACTGATTTTTTTCCGATCCGATATTTTTTCTTTAAATTTATAAATCTTTTCTTTTGCCGCGCCGCCTCTTTCAAAATGTCGTAGTACACAGTTTCGCCCGTCTTCACCCTGTGTTACGCTTTTTATCAATAATGAATTCAAATATTAACAATCAAAATTATTATAATCTCTACTCAATGATAATTTTACGGATAGTTGAGAATTTCGCAAAGAAATCTACCGTTCTCAAATTTTTATGTTGAAAGAAAAAAACGCAACTGCCGTTAACTATTGTTTCGAATTATTTGACATTTGACACGATACAAAACGACGCACGCTCGGCTTTTTCTTTTTTCGGAGGTAGAACAGACAGGGTTGTATTCAGTGAACGGGTGTTACCACATTGTGATAGATCTGCACTTTTTTGAGCATCTACCAAAGAACGTGACAGGTCTATTCTGCGCTGGTAATAAAAAGTTTATAACCGGTAAATAAAGTTCCTGTCAATTTTTAAAACCTTCTCGCATTCTGTGCAAGAATGATAGAATACAAGATTGCGCCGTCCTGGGCGTTGACATTTGTGTACCACAAGTAAACAAAGAATAGAGCGAAAAGAAGAACGAGTTGATACTGCCAAGGCAGTTCACTTTACAGCGAAAAACGTGTTTTAATTTTGCTAAATGTGAAAATATTGCATTTTTCACCTAATCTATTAGAGAACAGTGAACATTTTAGCGCACTCCATTGCTTTGCAATTGAGGCTGCTTCAGCAAACGTTTTAGTGCACTCCATTGCTTTGCAATTAAGGCTGCTGCAGAAAATTGCAGCAGCATCTCTGCGGGATTGATTAGTTAACTTGCTAATGGAGGCTGCGTGGAGCAGAAACAAAATCATTGTGAGGAAATGCTGTTAATATAATAATAGAGAAACATTTCGGGAACGGCTTTGCCGTACCCTATGTACACAAAATGCAGCGATTCGTCCCAGCGCTACACTTGCATCTACGCTTCTTGCATTTTGACGACTGTCGCAATTTAACACACAGCACTTCATTATATTGGTTTTTACGCGTCTTCAACTCAAAAATCACTCACAAATTGCAAATTAACACGATTTAAACTGAGTTTTCACTTATAATTCAAATTTCTCTTTCGCTGATTGGTAACAAAAGTTTATTTACAAGTTACCACAAATGTCAAAATCGGCGAAACCAAAGTAGCGGTACCACTGACGGCGCCACCTTTGTTCGCTGCACCGTGCATTCTGTGTACTCTTGTAACCGGTTAATTTTGCCCCGTGAAATACGCAATGCCAGAATTTACACAATTCTTCATAGCTGAATTGTTGAATATTTTAACTGCATTACCAGCGTACCTAGAATCGCGGTGAGAAGAACTGGTAACATTTTTTGGTAATAAAATTTTCCGGTTAAAAAAACTTCGATAACGGCAATAAACCTATTATAAAAACAACAGCTAAAATGTTAAAAAACGGCGATTTTTGTGAAAGTATTAGCAAATTTCATTGCATCTAAAGTTTCTAAGGCGTTGTTTACTTTTACTTGAGAATTGTCAAAATCGGCGAACCCAAGTAGCGGTTTCTGGAACGTGCCAAATTTGTTCGCTACATCGCGATGTGATAAAAAGAAATGCTGGCAGCACTCCGCAAAGTTGCAGAAATCTCTCAAAATGTGTTCGAAAAATATCATGATATGGAAGGAAAAATTGTCAAAACTCAATGCAATTTTAAGCAACTTCAATCTTGCACTTTATTATATTAAAATATTTTTTTACAATTTAGGTGAAACCTTGCAGAACTTTTTTAATTTTTGTATAAAATTTGATCCAAACCTGAGATCTGCCACATTTTTGTTTGAAATCTACAACATTTTTTCCAGATTCTACCACATAATTTTAAGCCCGAACACTGGTTGTATTCAATTTGTGACATAAATGCCCCGCCAGATAGAAATTCAATTCTGCTTTTGACTGACAAGACGCGCTAAACATGACGAGACGGCACAATGAAAACGTTGCCGCAAACGAAACGCCTCAATTTGATTGGCCAAAAATCAGCTGGTTTGAATTCGTTCCATACATTGTGGTTTTGACGCATTTATGCGCGTCAATGCGTAGAGAGTTGGGCGAACTTTATCAGTTTCGGCAATGCATGCGTTGCCAATGTGGCATCTTCTATTCAAAATCACGTAGTTTATTTAGATGTCAGTCAAAATTTTGGAAACGTTTTGATGAAAACTTTTTCAAATTTGTAAACCTTTTTTACTGCAGCAAAGTTTTTAAAGCTTCAAAAATCTATAAAGGTTTATAACACTGTGCAACAATTTTATGGCAATTTAAAGTAGACCGGACTATGCTAATATTTTCTAAATGTATGCAAATCCGTTAACAAAACACTCAATGGATTGGTTTGGAAAACTTTGAGCGCTTTGAGCGACCTCTAAATATTTTTTGATTTCAAATTAAAAAATAGGGGTATATTTTTCGATATAGAACAATCCTTCTGGGTGAGGGCATTAAAATTCCGACTTTACTTTTTCACATGCATTTTTGGATTACTCTAATGTACATACATAGATAAGTGTCAAAACTCGAATGTCACTAGTGAACAAACTTTTAATTATTGAATCATGTTAATAAAGTTTTTCTTTTTGTGATCTTTTATTTGATTTTGCTTGTTTACAAATACCAGCAACTCGTTTCACAGTTTGTGTATAATACCGTCTCTAAGGCGTAACTGTTTAACTCAACAATGGACAGCATTTCCGCAACAGTTGCGTCTTAAAAACTTGCCCATTGTGCCGTCTCGCCATGTCAAAAGCATCCTGTGGTGCAGAAAAGAAAGAAAGGACAAATATGCATCGTCACGCATGCAAGATATGCCAGCACGTGAAGACCGCCGGTAATGGACGCAACTTCGAATACCTTCCGGCTTTCGCCTCCAAGTGCCCATTCTGACCGAGCTATTATTTCAGTTTATAACGAGAGCGTTGCAAACAGAGTGGAAGCGAAGCCGAAGATGAAGATGAAGACGAAGCCGAAGACGAAAAACAGTGCAGTAGTAAACATATGAAAGTGATCACAGTGCAAGCAAATACGAAGACGAAGATGAAGACGTTGCGCAAGCGGTCAGCTTGAAACAGTGCGGTACTGTTTTCCAAGACGAATCGCTTGCTGTGATCAATTGTTTACAATTTATTTAAATGTTTGCAATTGTGAAAAAACGCGTTTTTCAAGAAATTGGCTAAATTTTTGGCAAAATGTAATCAAACGTATTAATTGGCATTCTTGTATATTTGAAAAATGTCTGTCCGTCTTGCCGTAACACATAATACAAGTGGCGAAATTCTCCAAAAGTTGTCCTATACAAATTATTTCATGAATTGCTGTTTTTTCTTTATTTTCTTTTGATTTTATCCTAAAAATGTTTTTATTTAGAAACAAATCTTCATATCATTCATCTTCCACTATGTACACTCGCCAGCTTGCCCGCAACGCAAGCAATTCGTCTTCGGCTTCGTCTTCGTCTTCATCTTCGTCTCCGGCTTCGCTTTCACTCTGTTTGCAACCTAACACTTTTAACAGCTCTGCTTTTCTTTTTGCCTACGTTTTGCACGAATTTCGCTCAGCTGATGCCTGATAAAAACAAAAATGCCGGAAGAAAGTTTAGAGCCCCAAATAAAATTGCAAAAAATTGGAGATGCCAAGCAGCAAACAGAAAATGAATCCGGAATCGAAACAAAACCGCGAGGACCTGGAGAAACGCCTGCAACCCCACTGAGTAAGAATCAATTGAAGAAACAGAAAAGATTGGAAAAATACGAAGAGCTAAAAAAAGTCCGACGCCTGAAAGAGCGTGAAAGGCAGAAACTAAAGCGTCTTGAAGCACATGCTCAAGGATTACCAGCACGTGTTGGACCGTCTCGAAAAGAGTTAAAGAAACGTCAACTTCAGTGCACTGAGCAGCAGTCGGGTAAGCTTTGTGTTGCTATAGATTTGGACTACGACGATTTGATGCATGATCGCGACGTGTCGAAATGTATCAAACAGTGCCTACGCATTTATACGATTAACCGTCGTTCCAAATGCCCAGGTCATCTGCATATCACCGGCATCAAAACTGACGGGCGAATTCATAGTAGCCTTAAACGAAATGATGGCTGGGAGAATTGGCATTTAAAATACCATTTCAACCAAACGCACAATGATGTCTTCCCAAAGGAGAAGATAGTGTATCTCACTTGTGAATCTGACACTGTGCTAGATCGTATTGAAGGAGATTTTGTGTATGTGATTGGAGGTTTGGTTGATCATAATCATCATAAGGGCCTATGCCATAAAAGAGCAACTGAAATCGGACTGCGTACCGCGCGATTACCGCTGAGCGAACACGTTAATATGAAAACACGTGCGGTGCTAAGCACATTTCATGGTATATAATTTAAATTCTAGATATTGCATGATATAGATTCATTTAAATTTATCTCATACAAATATATATTTTAGTTTTTGAAATACTGATGCGTGTTACTGAAGGGAAGTCTTGGACAGATGCTATAATGGAAACTTTACCTGTACGAAAGGGTGCTAAACCTAAAGTAAATACTGATTCATCTGCAGAAAATCAACTCAAAGGGAATGAAGAAATAAATTCAAATGAGCAGATTTTATTAAAGGATCAGGAATAAAAAATTCAACCTCCTGGACCAAATATAAAAATACATTTTTTTATAATTTCAGGAAACAATCTGTGTATTACTTTTAAGAAACTAACGTCTGAGTTCTTGCTTTATATTGACTTGCTCTAAAGGATGGAGTTCCTGAATGCTAGCGCTAGCATTTTACTTTAAAAGTACACTATTGACCAGAGTATCAGACAGGTTCTGCAATTCACTCCCGAGTGAATTTCAATCAAATTTGCTTTGAAATTCAAATTGGCAGGGGTTGAAATTCACTCGAAAGTATATTGCAGAACCCCCCTGTATGTAGATCTGGATCATTCTGGTTAAGAAGCTTATCGGAACGAACGTGGTTAAGGCCTGTATGCAGCTCTCAAGAAAAGCAAAAACTCCATATAAAATGACGTACAAGAAATGGCTAAGAAATTTTCTTGAGCCAAATTTCCTTAAGGCAGTACGCAGTTCTTAAGAAATTTACTACGCTTTCTACTACGGTTTTCTAAAGTTTTTTGTGAAAAAAGAGCACAAGGCAACCCAGGTTTGAAACAGAAATATATGCCCGTTCCATTATTTCTTGAGGAAAGAGTGAGGCAACAGGCTGTGAGGTATCAAAAATGTCAAAATTCCTTGGACACACACGCGAAATAATGGCAATTTTTTCTTGACCGTTTTCTTGAGAGCTGCATACAGGGCTTTAGTCGTAAAATTTGAAGGTGTAAACAATTTATATCACTTATCGAAAATGCAACCCTGAGCTAGTTATCACATATTTTCCTTGCTTTCATTACGTACAAGTGTTGGAAAGCGACTACCTAATCTGCACATATGTGTGTACCTACAAATTGGGTAATTTTTTGCCAGTCATAACTGCATATACATATACTGCTGAGCGTAAACATACAACTTCAGATAAGGTCTTTCAAGTTACGGAAATCGTTTTTTTTTTCAACGGGCTGTTTTTACATGATTCAATAATTAAAGGTTTTTTCACTAGTGACATTAGAGTTTTGACACTCCGTTACAAAAGGTTGCAGAGCAAACTGTTTTCTGAGCAAACCTTTGTTACTGAATCATGCTGTTTTTATAGATTTATGTTTAATGCTTTGTCAGAGTTTTTTCGGTATGCTTACAAGAAAGTTTTAATTTCCATCACTGACACGTACGAATTACACACAAAGGTAAATGTAAATAAACGACGAAAACAAAACAACGAAAATAACAACATTATAAAAGCAATTGTACAAATGCGAAGATACATAAAAGCGGATATCTGAAAAGCCAAGCGAAAACATCATGGACATTTTAGTTGCTCTTCGATTTTCGAACAGTTCGTATAGATAACTATTTCGGTCGAATATATTTCGTTAAAAGGAGTGATTAAACTATAGTTTAAGATTTGCAATTAAAAATATCACCGGTGAGTGAAATTTGAGCAAAAACTTATATGTACTTATATACAAAATAAGTCGAGATTAAAAGCTTGCTAAATTCTTTTGGTAATTTGAAACTGCGTCTGCGAAGGCCGGGTTACTTGGTGGGCACACCCCCGCCACACAATGCTTCCAAGTACGGCAATTGCAACTTACCATTTCACGCAATTCAGTTTCTTGAGCTAAATGCGCAAAATAGGAATATAAATAACTTTTAAGCGTGTATGCAGACGTAGGTATGTATGTATGTAGTTTGTAATAAATTCAGTGTCCATATGAAAATGGTACACACATATTTATGTATACCGAGCGATGAAAAATCTGCATTAATTTTGAGCACTGCGAAAATTAAAAAGTTTTCACTGTGAAAGTGCAAAAGGAACAAAGAACTAAACTGAAATTGCGCATGCATACAAGTCCGTATGTATCTCCGGACGTACATATGTATGTGCGTAGCTCCCATTAAAGCTGAAATTAGTCAAGAACGTAAACCTACCGGTACGTAAACCCGAGTCAGCTGACACGATCTGTCTTACCAAAGCGCCATGTAAATGAAAATTCAACACCGCAGAATTTTTCTGTAGTTGTAGCCCGTAGCGCAGAAATCTGCGGAATTTAGATTTTTCCGTGTCAGCTGATTTCTCCTTCTTTAGATGGTTGCCACTTCGTCAGTTTTGCAGATGTAAAAAAGTTATAAGTTCCTATTCAAAATACGTTTAAAATATTTGAAATTTACTATTGAATAAGGTTTTTTGTTAAAAACTAAGTAGTTTATATTAAGCTACGATCTATTATAGCACCAAAAATTGTAGTTGAAAGGGTAAGTTTATGAAAAGGCATTGAAGAGTGGCAACAGTGTAGTAAGCAACACTGAGGGCTCCAGTAATCGACAAAATTCTGCGTATACAGACTGCGTTTAAGTATACGTTCTGCGTTCTCGACTAATTTCAGCTTAAATTTTCGTTTATGTAAATAGAAATACGTACATATGTACGTGTGCATTCTAAAATATATAACTTTTATAACGTTATATAATGCATGTGGATATGTTTGCTCTAAAAGGAATGCTGCTTCGTACGTCATGGCTATAGGTACTCCAAAAATATCACATTTTTTGTTTAATCAGTATGCCAAATCAATTGCTGGCTTTTAGCATTTCTTTTAAGCGATCAAGGTTCGCTGTCATTGCCTGTGTTATCCTGCCAGGAGATGGACAGTTATCCGTTCAATGTTTCAATTTCGGACAATTTATTTATGTACATACATATGTATGTATGTATGTATGTATATGAAAACGCAACTTAGCTACTGTGTACAAACACTTTATTTAAGCAAAATTATGTACATCGATGTATATTAAATAGATAAACAAATGCTTGCTAAATATGTACATATATAAGAGCGATAGTTTGTAGGCCTACGACGCAATAGCAACAAAACTGATAGCAGCAACGAAGGCTAAACAGCTTTTCTAAAATATTAAAATACATACATACGTACATACATATGGTCGATGTTTTTGCAAAACCGCCTAAATCGCCGTTATGGCAAAATTGAGATTTGCTAGCCATGAACTCCAGGCATCGATGCATGAAAATCGTTAAATCGTTATCAAAACAATAGATTTGTAAAATTATAGCTAGAGAAAATACCACCTATCAACGCAATGCCTTCAAAGAATAAACCGTTTTTTCGCTCTCCTGTAAAATTTGAGTGCCGTAAGATAGGCGGTTTGGCAATTGGACGATGGGCGGTTTTGCAAAAACATCGACGATATGTACGTACATAACAGTGTTGCCAGTTGAACTTTGATCGTCATTTGGAAGATTTTTAACTGTCTTGACGATTTGACCGATTTCGACAAGCAAATGATGATTTTTTTCATTGTGTGCAGTTTTTGATTGCCTGTTGTTTTAGTGGCGATTTTTCGTTTTTTTTTTACTTTTTCAGAAAATTATTGGGCTTTTAAAACTATAACACAAAAGTCTTTAACCCAAACTAAAAGATTTTTATATATGTATTCTAAAAGCATTTTAAAAGTAGATAGCAAACTTTTCATTTCAGGTCTTTCTTTTGAATTCGAAGGTTTTTGGGAAAGGGTTCTTTCACCATATATGTACATACATATTGGCAATTTTCTAATTTAAAAGTTCGATACAATAATCGCTTATGTACCCAAGTACCTACCTCCAACATACAAGGGTTAAAGAAATATTTCTAGCAGGAAATTTTTTTATCAGCTTAGTTCATTGAATAATGTGTATGTTATTTATCTAAATCCAATTAAACATATTTCTGTTATAAGTAAAGTTGATTTTTTGTAATTCGTAAAAGGTTTATTATATTTATTTTTTTTTCGTATAATAATCAGCTGCCAAAATTTTTTCCGCACGCGGTTTATTTTAAAGGACGAGAACCATTTTGACGATTTCTATGTTCAACTACATGGCAACACTGGTACATATGCACATATTCATTCGAATTGACCTGTTCAACGATTTGTTTTCGTACTAGACTCCATGCCGTTTCACGTTCCACGTTGTCGGCCCTCCAATGTTGGAGGTAATCAAAGACGTATGTAAAAACCAGAGAACGTAACACATATGTATGTATCTATTTTATGTATGTATTTATATACACAATTCGGCGTGTATCGATACATGTGCTCCGCCGCATGGCTTCTTTCGTCATTGGACCAGTCGCAAGCGATATTGTTCACTCATCATAAAAGTTGTGGCCATTTGATGATTTATGTTTACATACATGCATAGGTACATATAGTTTGTATATTATGCATAGTTTCTACCTGCAATAATCTGTCCTTCCGGTACATACAAGCATAGGTACTTGCAGTGGCGCACAAAAGTATTTGCACAGAGAATTTTTCGCAATATATGCAACGGTTTTTATTTTAATTACTTTTCGATTTTTTCTTTTATAAAAATACTAGCCGGCCACGGATAAGCGAGGCTTCGCTGCGCGCTGAATGTATGCACATCGTCGCCTGGGTAAAAGATAGTTGTATGTTAATTTCGGTAGGTTGTGGGAAGTCGCGATTGAAGTTTGGAATACAATTTCTCAAAAACGCGAAGATAGATTTTCTCCAAAGTCTCTGAAAATTTTACTAGTTCACAAAACTCTGAATTATTTAATTTTCTTTAGTAAAATTTTGTCGTAAGCGCCATTTGGCCACAATTTGCCAGCCACTTTGTATGAAATACGACAAAATGTGATGAAAATTTCTACTAAATTTTTACTCAATATCTCGGAAACTAAAGGAGATATACAAAAATGGAGAACATAATTTCTAAGATATTGATTAGTTTAATATGACTGCATCACTAGCTAAATTTTTACTAAATTATCGAAAAAATTGTAGTCAATATCTCGGAAACTAAAGGAGATATCTAAAAACTGATACCACCAATCGAAAGACCTTATTTCAAAATATATGACTGCATCTAGAACTAAAAATCGTCAAAATGGCGGTTACGACAATCTTTTACCCAGGCGACGATATGTATGTACATTAGGGATGTTTCGAATGTCATATTTTTCACATTCACGAATGCCAATGTGCAAATGCGAATTTTCGTAATGCGAATGCGAACGCGAATGTTAGGAATACTATTAAA